CCTTTAACCCTTTGTCTGCTACAATTCCACAAAAATAATTGATGACTGATTGGCCCATTAACCTTTAAGGGAAAAAAAGTTTGACAGCCCAGACTTGTGTAATGAGGAGGGATTCCCTGTGAAGTCAGTCTGATGGCTGAGATGCTCGCCCCTGAGGAGGCAAAATTAGCCCCCCCGGGGCCTCGTCTGCATAGAAACTGGACACAATTAGTGCGATATCCGGTGTTATTAATGTCATTGGGAATAATTGGGCAGGTTGGTTTCGACAGGTTCATGGCTCTAAAATACTATTATAGTGGACCTTTCCACAGCCAACCGTTAAACACAGAAAACTGTTTAAGCCCTCGGGAGCCCAATCACTGTGGTAGTGAGCTGGGGACCAGGACTGTGTATAGCCTGGAGCTTCCGGCTGGGGTGAGGTGGCTTCCCCTCAGGGTGGGGAATAACTCTGTGCTTGTGTGTCTGTCTGGAACTGAGATGTGCTTCTAATGTATATGCTATCAGTGTCTTCTACAGCCTGAGTCTCTTAGTGAACTCTGAGTAACCTACTATGCCTGTCACTAGTAAGCTGGTTTGTATCTGCAAATGACACCAGAGAATAAAACACCAAAACTGGCCCCTCGCACTATTTAAGCATTTGTCATTTGGGGGCGGGGGGGGGGGCAGCTGCCATCTCTTGGCTTGGGAGGCAAAGGTGAGGCAGGAGATCATGTGTTTGAGACCAGTCAGGGCTACACAGTGAGACCCAATGTCTAGTAAATAGAGGATTGCAGATGTGCCCACTTTCTGACTGCCAGTTTTGTTTGGTTTGTTTTTAAATCTGTTTGCTAGAAAACTCTAGTGTCGTCAGCTGTCACTTTATAAAGTAGCACAGCCTTCTAACCATTGGGAAATTGATGGCGCGATGTCACCTAGTGACATGTCTGAGTGTTAAGAGAAAGGAGCGTGTTGCATTGGGTTGCCTGTTGTCTCAGTGGCTGTCACACTGTCCAAGTGCTAGCGTGGATCAAGTCAGGAGGCCTCCGAGGGGCCGTCAGTAAGCACTGACTGTCGTCTGGCAGGCCCTGCCAGTACCCTTACATGGGCTTTATCAGAACGTGTTGCAAGTGACAGAAGCCCTTTTAAAGGGGGAAGGCCATAAAGACAGTAAAACACCCCCACATAACCAGCTGTGGGGCAGGGAGAGCAGCTGACTAGAGGAGCGTCTGGGCTTGGGCCCTGGAAGGTGCTCTGCTTCTTGGCACAGTTTTGGTGGTGGCACTCAGTGACCTCCCCAGAGGAGAGGGCAGGACCACACCCCTTGGATATGCAGCATGCTTAGGTTTTGTGGGTTAACATCTGTTTCTTTCTGGAATTAAGCATGTGAGTGTTACTTCAAGACTCAGAAAGTTTTGGGTTTCAGAACAGTTTTGCTCTTGAGTTTTCAGATTGCTTCATGGCCTCACACAGTACATTAACTCTGACCTTTGCTGTCCTCCCCAAAACTCCTCTTTTTCTAAATGCAATGAGCAGGCTTCACTCAAGATCCCAATAAAAACACAGGCAGGCAAAACAATGATACAGGCTGCCGGGGTGGCCCCTCAGGCGGCTTCCGGCTTTAAGAACTGGAGGTATGCTCCGAGGAAGCCTCCAGCGAGTCATACTCAGTGTAACTTGTCTAGGCTCCCTTTTACTCACCCAGTCACACACCTTCCTCCCATCCGAGTGCATTCAGCATAGCAGAACACTCAGAAGCCAGTACATGTGTTGGATAGTGCCGGCTGTTCCGGAGAGATGGGGTTGAGGGGAAAGAAGACTGACAAGAGCCACGGCCTGACCGGGCTCTCATTCACAGGCTTGGAAGTAAGGCATCAGAGGGAAGACAACAGTCATGTTCCTGAGGGAGTGAGCAGAGGGCTGAGCACAAAGATGGCTGCTCTGCAGGCTGTGCCATCAAGTGTGAGGCGGCACACTATGTGGAGTGGAAAGGTGTCTGTCTGCAGGACAGACACCCTACATGGTAGGTCAGCACATTAGAGAGAGACTCTTGGAGCTTTGAATAGAGTGAGGAAATCCTGACAAAATCTAGGTCCCCAGGAAGATAGGAGAGGTAGCCATAAGGAAAGCAGAGAAATGTAACCGGAAGACATCAGGAACAGAAAGGAAGGAGGAAGGTCTAACCACACACAAGCTGCAGAGGGGAGCCTGTCCATTGGAAAGAAAACTGTGACAACGTGACGGAACCCTGGTGTTCCTGTGAATTCTGCCCCTTCAGGTACTTATGCAGAGAGAGGCGCATGGCTCCCAGGACAAGACAGAGCCAGACTGCACCTCCACAGCTTCATCTGAACAGCACAGCTACTCAAGCTGGCATCAAAATGGGGCCAAAAGCTTGGTGATACATCCTTGTAGCATTTGACCTGGATACCCAGCCATTTTTATCATTTTGTGTTCTGTCATCCACATGTGTGGCTGTGCATGTCCCTGCTAAGTGGGATCCTTCAAAGACCACCCTCTGCCTCCGCAGACCCCCAAGACTTGAAGGAGGTAACCTAGAGCCCTGGGACACCAAGCCCGCACCTCAGTCAAGCCAGATCGTGTTTTGCCTTTTAGCTCACACTGCAGCTCATTATTCAGGCTAGAAACGTGGGCAGAAATCCTCTGAGAACAGTGTACAGAGGTCTAACTGAGGCTCATGGTGGTCATTTCTTCGCTGGACATGATGGCATCTCAGTATCAGTGGGGGGAGGGGGCGGAACACTGTCCTTGTCCAGGCAATGGCTTACCATCCTTGAGTTTCACAGATGTAAGGAACAGTATTCACATCCACCCAAGAATGACCAAGTGTCCTTGAGTTCCACCCATGAATTACATACCCTGTCCCTGCCCTACCTCTCCCTTCACTGGGAATTTTAGGCACTAAATCGGGTGCTGTGGCGCAGACCTCTGTGCGGTAAAAGGTGTAATGAAGAGTATAACATAGAAGCTCATGGATCAAGAGAACGGGTCTTTTCAAGCCCATAGATGCCGCTGCTCTACTGGTAATTGCAGGGTGTGGTTGCAGGCTAGCTGTGAAGAAACCTGTCTGAAGTTGCTATGTAGTCTTATTTTATTTTAATGAAAAACTCAACTAGTCCCCATGTGCAAAGACCTTAGGGCTTCCTCCTCAGCCACCCTCCACACAGTAGGTGGACTTGTTCTGCTTCTACACAAATGTGGGTCTCATTTGAGTACCATACCTGGCCAGCACCTGTAGTTGGTTTGGGGTTTTTTGTTGGTTTGGTTTGGTTTGGTTATTTTTTTCTTTTTCCTCTTTGGGGATCTGCTACCAAACTCCCAAATAAATACACAGAGACTTATTCTTACTTAAGAATGCCCGGCCTTAAAAACAAACAAAAGCCGGGCAGTGGTGGCACACGCCTTTAATCCCAGCACTCGGGAGGCAGAGGCAGGCGGATCTCTGAGTTCGAGGCCGGGCTGGACCGACAGCCTCCAAAACAATACAGAGAAACCCTGTCTCGTAAAAACCAAAACAAACAAACAAAAACAAAAAAAAAGCCAGGTGGTGGTGGTGCACACCTTTAATCCCAGCACTTGGGAGGCAGAGGCAGGCAGATCTCTGTGAGTTCTAGACCAGCCTGATCTACAAGACCTAGTTCCAGGACAGGCTCCAAAGCCACAGAGAAACTGTCTTAAAAAAAAAAAAAAAAAGAATGCCCGACCTTAGCTTGGCTTTTTTCTAGCCAACTCTTCTAACTTAAATTATCCCATTTCTCTTTAACTATGTTTTTTCTCTGGGCTTTCTACCTTCCTTTATTCCATATCTCTTTCTTGTTTTCTTACTCCATGGCTGGCCCCTGGTGTCTTCCTCTCCTCCTTTTCTTGCTCCTTGCCCCTCTTCTTTTTCCAAGATTTCTCCTTCTATTTATCCTCTCTGCCTGCCAGCCCCACCTATCCTTTCTCCTGCCTCGCTATTGGCGGTTCAGCGAGTGGGGCCAGGCCGGGACTTAACAGACATGGCTCTGGCATGTCAGCCCTTGTGGGTGTCTGCACTGACGTTGAGCTTGTGTCAGGGCCTGAGCTCAACAGGACATGCAGGTGGCCCAGGGAAGCTGTTAGCTTGCTTAACACTGGGCCTGTGGGTTTCCAGAGTTCTTTCATGATCTCTGTGGTTCTTGAGTACTAAGAGTCCAAAAACGATGTGTTACACTTGCTTGTGCTTCGGTAAATGATACAAAGATGTGCTGCATTCTTTTATGTTGCATTTGTTTGACTTTGTGAAACTGTGTTACTCTGCCTGTCTTAAAATACCTGAATGATCTAATAAAGAGCTGATAAACTCAGTAGAAACTGCCTGTGCCCAATCCACAGGGGACGAAATGAGCCTTGGGAATAGAACTTAGCTAAAGGCAAGTAGTCTCACAGGGTGTGGGCAAACCTCTCTTCCCTTTCCCTTTCAAAACAGGTATCTCCCTGTGTCCACAGTCAGGCCCGTGTGCACTAAAGCCCTCTGAGTTGCCTGGAGTCAAGTTGCCCAAGTCTTAGCACCATGAGAATTAAAGCTCCCGTTGCTGTTTGCTCGGCCCTGGAAGGACGTCCACCTTGGTGTCCCCAGTGCTGTTCACCCAGACCCATACTTAATGCTTCCATAGTCTGGTTTCACGCCTAACAGAACTAACTCCATTTTTCTCCCGCAGATCCAAGGGCCAGCAGTAAGTTGCAAACTTATTTTCCTAAGTTGCTTGGTCTGCACCCACACAGAGACCCTAACATCCCACGCTGTCTCTCCTTTCTCCCTGTCCCCCTAAGCACTGATTGGAACCTAGTTACCGCTGCTGGCTTTTCGAAGCCAGTCTTGAGTGTTGGCGGGGGTGTGGATCAGATCTCAGCGTTTCCATCCTGTGTCTGCTGTCAGCCCCATGCCGGTGCCATTGAATCCAGAGGCACTTGTGACAGGATGGGCTCGGGCGCTGCTGTCTCATGAAAGTGAGCTCTTCATCCCACCTCTCTCTCTGTTCCAGAGCAAGAAGAAAACTTTGAGTTTATCATTGTGTCCCTCACTGGCCAGACATGGCACTTTGAAGCCACCACATACGAGGAACGAGACGCATGGGTCCAAGCCATCGAGAGCCAGATCCTAGCCAGCCTCCAGTCCTGCGAGAGCAGCAAGAATAAGGTAAGGCCCTCAGCAGGCTGCCCCAAAATCAAGGCTGCCGATCATTAAATGGAAAAGAAGGCCCAAGTGGAGCCCCAGGTGGGGGGACAGGGACATCAGATGGCTTGTGTGGATGACAAGACCCAGGTATGCTTTGTGAGGAGAAAAAAACTAAGTAATTGAAAAGATAAAACCACTTTGTATCTACAAACACCATGCATGTGTTGGTGTCCTGGCTTGGCCGTCTGTGTGTGGCAGGCTGTACAACATGAAGCCTTTGCTGTGGCAGCCAGTGCTACGTGGGAAGCTTTCGCCTCTCTCTGTAGGTGATGGAGCCTTTTGGACTCTGCCTGCTTATGCGTCCATACTTATTTTTTGTTGTTATTGTTTGAGGCAGAATGAATCAGAAAAAGACACACAGACTTAAAAGATGCCCTATTCTGCCCTCATAAATGTCTCAAATGTCACAGGGATACAAACGAAACGCAAAGGAGATAGAGGGAGTTTGGGCAAGGTAGATTTTCTGTTTTTTTTAAAGTCTGGCGTATGTTTCATTCAGTAATTAAAAAGAGTTCTCCAGCAGTTGTTTGGCCAGAAATAAAAGTGTGTTCAGTGCATTTTCTGGGCCACTGCTCGGCGATCTTCCTTATGCTGGCCCTGTCTTTCCCAGCCGGGTTCTGTCCATCTCAGTCTTTGAACCCTTAGATACGCAGAGCCCTTTGCTGACCCATTGAGATTCTTGGTGAGCATTTTGATTTTTCAAACTGTGATCGGCTGGAAACCGAAGAAAGACATTGCCATCACCTGCAGTTTCATTTATAAGCATTTAAAGAAAGCTCTGCCCGTGATGTGTGGCCAGCTTTGTCATTAAGAAGGGAGTCTGTTTTTCAGAGAGACGGGGTGTGTTATTTTATTACCCTCTTGAGCCAGGGTAAGCCAGACCACAGCCATTATTATTATTATGCAATTTGCTTCTCTCTTGGAAGACAGCTGATACCCAACTGGGAAGAACCACTGTCTTTTATTCTGAGCTCCCTGGGTTCTCAGGTCATATCCCTGTCCAGCCATGATGTGTCTCCCCACCTCACCCATGGGCACAATGACACCTGCCATCCACAGGCTTGGAATTCTAATTTCAGAACAGGGAAGGGGACACATGCTGCTGGCCAGACAAGCACATACCTGGTATTTATGGAGAAATTAGTCTCACACACCCCAACTGAAGCCACACCCCTTCTTTATTCCAGAAGCTCTGGCCAATGTTGGCTTCTCCTTGAGAGCCTCGTTCCTGTTTATTACTCTGAATCCAGACAGTAAGATGTCATGGACCATAGGCCAATGCCAGCCCACCAAAGCTGTCCTCTGTATTCATGGGCAAACACACTCGTGGTCATGACTTCCCCTGGAAGGAGATTCCCTTGAGCAACTAAAGGACACCGGACACACACCTGGGCAGCTGCTGTTAGAGAAGTAGCTAGTATTTCAGTTCCTGTTGGATAACTCAGAGCTGACCCAGAAAGACATAGAAGGAGCCCCAGACCTGTACAGATATATGAGGAAAGAAACGGGGAGATAGTTAGACCTCTGTGTGTGTGTGTGTGACACCCCCAGACGCCAGTGACACCCCCAGACGCCAGCTCAAGTTCTTAAGTGTTTTCTGATTCCTAAAGGAAATAAAAACACAGTAGTACATAATGCCGATTAAACAATAGCAATAAATAAATGATAACTTACTATTATAAAGTAGCAGTCAATAAATTGCTTCACATCCATCTATTGAGTGTGAGATACCTCAATTTGTAAAGAATTTGAACACAAAACAGAAATTTTTCTAAGTTCTGAAACTGATCAACTTTTGCTTTAACTGTAATATCAAATGCTTGTTGAATAAATAAACCTTTTGAAACACGAATATCCTTTCCTTTGCTTCTGGGATTTCATCCTTGCTACATAGTCAGGAATGTGTGTAGAGACATACAGGAAACATGTTCTTTGCAGCACTGTCCAGGGTTGAGGACGCCTAGAGCAGTCCAAATACATAGCTAAGGAACTTGCTATGTACTCACTAAGGGAACTTCTATGCATGCACTTAAATGATGAAGTTGGAGGCTCTGTTGACATAATGATATTACTAGGCAGGGAAGGCAAGCTCCAAGGCAGTATATATCTTCCTGCAGTGCCTGTGTGTACAGATGTGCACAGAAAAACAGCCAGAGGGTCTCTGAGTGACCAAATCCTAGTTTATAAATGTTCATGTCTTTTCCCATATGTTCTAACATTGCTGCAATAGGTAACCTTTAAAAAAAATCTCTTCTGAGGACCATAAAGTATGCTTAAGAATGAATGCCCCTGCCTGTTTCCAGTGAGTGACTGATTATGTAGCAACTGAGGGACCCTCACATGAGGGAGAGATTCTGCTGGCTGTGATGTGTGGTGTGGTTGGGGTTTTCTGATGAAGAACCAGGAGGCAGCCCTGTGTATGCTGATTAAGGCCTGACCCTTGGCTGATACACAGATTATTTTTTCTCACTCTTTAATCTTCATACCAAGTAGCTATATGCCCATGAAGGTGTATTAGCCAGTGACATTCTCTGAGGAGCAGTCTCTGGTTCATTCACAAATGATGGAGGTCTGACCACTTGACTCATTTTGGGCAGAGTTCGTCTCAGCCAATAATCCTGACATACGATCTGTCACTCTCCCTCACGAACTTGCCTAAGACATCAGAAAGGGAGCCATTGTTTGGAAATTGCACACAGCTGCACCTGTGCATAATCTGTTTGGTTTTTCTCTGACATCGTTAGATGTGTAGATTTCTCCTGGCTGCTCATATCTTGAATTTTCTGTCTTCTTTGTGCCTAGTCCCGACTAACCAGCCAGAGCGAGGCCATGGCACTTCAGTCCATCCGTAACATGAGAGGAAACTCCCACTGTGTGGACTGTGACGTCCAAAGTAAGTACACGGGGCTGGCCGTGCCCCTAGAGCTGTATCGGCTATGGCACTGAGAGCCTGACATATCTGAGTTTGAGTTTTGTTTGAACATGGTGTCCTTCACACAGCCTCACTGGTGGAGGTGTGCCATTTCTTACACACTGGACTGCTGTGTGCCCTGCTTAAGCCCCAGGCATCACAATGGGTGAAGGACTGAAACTGTAATTACTGCCTCCCTTGGAGTTACCCCAACATGTCACACTTTCTCTGTGTAAAAGGTAATATTCCCCTTGAGAGTGAAGTTTCCTTCTTGTATCTGGGGGGTAGGGTAAAGTCTTACTGTCAGTCTGCACCCTCAGAGGCTATGTTGTGTAAACCTTGCCCATTTATATTGTTACACAGGGTATTGAAGGGAGTGGGGGAATGCAGTTCAAACGGGAGCTGCTGTCTCAGGTGAGGGATATCTGGGAACTGAACACACCTGTGTTATTGGTCACAGCCCAGTGGGCAAGGCATAAGCCCCACCCGTGACACATGGTCTCCAGCATTGGGGAAGGAGCAAAGGTACCTGGGTCTTTGCCATCTTCAGCCTCAAAGCAAGCTTCCCTCCTGAGTTGACTTGTCAGAAGGGCTCTGAGGAAGAGTGGAGGGTGAGGAAGTGATGTGACTGGAAGCTGCAGCCTCAGGGGAGGCCCCCCCAGGGGAGCCGAGAAAGTGAGTGGCAGCTCAGGCTGGAACTGGATGGAGTTGATGGAGATACTTGCGGGGGTGAGGTCTTTATGCATCTGGGGGGTGGGGGTGAACTGCCCACATCTCACAGCAGGCACAGACTCTGAGATGTTTTGTGGGGGAGGACTGCCTGACCGCACCAACTATCTAAGAAGAGAACAGCGGAGTGGGTCAAAGACCTGCAGGTGGATCGTGAGCATCACCTCAGGAGACACGGAGGGCCCTGGCCAGCAGGTTGTCCAGGCGTCCTGGATGACCATAGCCCAGCAGGATCCCGTCCTCTGGGCAAGAAGGGCAAGCTCTTCCGCTGACTCCGCTGGGCACTGCTTTAAAGTCTCTCTCTTTGTTTGCATTTTTACATTTTACTTTCAAAACGTGAGATGGGGAAAAAAGAACATGTATTTGAAGTGTGTTTTTTTATCCAAAACTTTCCTTAAAGCAGACTTTTTTTTAAGCATAAAACCTGAGACATGTTTTTTTTTTTAAATCGAGAGATTGATGTCTGTAATTGTTTCCAGCATGCACCTAGGGATTCCTCAAAAGGGAACCAGTCTATGGCTTTACAGGAATTGTGGCATGTGGCAAATTGGAGGTCACAGGTCCTTTTTGAGAGGAGGTGGGCATATGCATGCTGGGGGTGGGCAGGAGGGGGAGGCCGTGAGACCAGACAAAGCCACAGGAGCAGATGGGGCGGGGATGGTAAAGCAGAACTGGAAGCTTCAGAAAAGGGGGTTTGGAGGCCATTCACCAAGTATGCTGTATCCAGTCCACACATGGGTTGTCTTCTTGAATTACCAAGAGTGACAGTTAGTATTGTCATGGGCCCATTGACAGGACAGGGAAGGAAGAGTCGGGGACCACAGCAGTTTGTCCAGGTTACAGAGGTAGCAAGCACTATTGTGTGATTCAACCCACACACGTCACCGACCTGTCGCTTCCTGGGAGGCCTTAATATGCTTGGAGACTGATGTGAAGTGCATGAGGGAGCAGGGAGGAATTTTAAGTATAAACATCCAGTTTGGGTGCAAATGCCAGGAAGCAGATTCACGTGGCCCACCCTGTCAGTGAGATGTGAGCGTGGTCACAGCGTGCTAAGGCAGTGTGAGTAAGCGCCTGTGATGGCCATGTACCTCTGAATGTAGCAGTTCCCCTTAGGAAAGATCCCAGTGGGAAGGAAGGAGGTCTGGGCAGGAAAGGCACAGACACCAGCTTTAAAGATGACCCACTCCAGGACTGTGGACTAAAATCAGAGCCACCCCACACCTAAAGGGAGATACCGGTGACGTCTATTGGTGGAGCAACAGACAGCGTGACTCCAGATAAAACCCTGTAAAGGGCAGCTTTTCCTTGCCAGCAGCTTCGGTTTATCTCCCGCCAGTCACCTGGGCTCTGCCGCGATGTAGTCACCAAATAACACACAAGACGCTGTATTAACTATGAAGCTGTTGGCCTTGCTTGTCTCTTACTGGCTAGCTCTGCTTTAAGTAATTACCCCATAATTGTTAATCTAAGTATGTCTCTTACCGGAGAATAGTTCCGGGCTCCTACCCCAATGGCGTTACATGTTGACTCTCCAGTGTTTCTCCTTCCCAGAATCCTCCTGGACTCCTAGTTCCTCCCATCTAGATTTCTATTGGCTCAACAGTACTTTATTGACAAATAACAAATAACAGAACTTCCCCAACAAAACCCCACCTAGAGAGTCTCACTGGCCCACCACTACATGTGCTCACTCTGTGGGGCTTGAGGATATGGCCTGTGGACTTTAGTACAATGTGGAATCTGAGGCCACAATTGCTGCAGGTCACCAAGTGTCTCCTCTGCACATTCAGCCCATCCCAGGACATAGTTCCCAAAGAGGACACAGGGCCACCTTGGCTGTAGTCCAGTGAATTTGGAAAAGTCAGTGGTGTTCACCTCTGAGGTCAAGGCCCATCACTATATGAGAATTTTGCCCTAGAGGGAGCTTGCAGCCTTGCCCAGCCCAGCTCTTTCAAGAATCCACTGACAGTTGAAATCTCTGTTAGGGTTACCTGTTAGTTACCCAGAAAAGGACCTAGGGAATCCCAGAGGTTGGACACACCCATGCACGATCGCACGCACCCATGCACACATGCATGTATCCATGCACAGTCCTCGGCAGTATGACAGATGTTCCAACACACAAGTGAGAAGCAGCCCAGCAGCCTCTGATTCCTGGTTCCTGAAGCTCTGTCATTGCCAGGGCTGCCCATAGAATCAGGCTAGAGCCCTGTTGGTTCCTAGTAGATCTTGTCTTACCCACCCGCCTTGCCTTCTACCATCCCTCAGTCCCTTAGATACAGACTCTGCTACGGTGAGGCTGCTCTGTATTCACCCAGATGTAATATGTTATCACAGCCTCTACTGACCATAGCCGACAGGAAGCGTGGACACACCAACCTCTGCTCAAAGCAGAGAATAGGTTCTGTGATGCCACCTTACTACACTGGGGGTGGGGCAGGTAGGTGGCCATGGGAACTGTCCTCGGGAAGGTAATTCCAGCTGAGACCGAAAGGAAAGAGCATTCCAGGCAGAGCTGGAAGTGTTGTACACAGGTGGGTGGGGCTCAGTTCTAATCCTGTCTGCAAAGACTGTGGACTTGATCCCAGAGGCAGGGGGTAGCCGTAGCAGGTTTTGAGTCCCCAGGTTACATGATTGGGCCTGCCACCTTTCATGGCTGCTGCTGGGCGGTGTCCTACTAGGATCGGGATGTGAACATACAGACTTGAGCTTCGTCAGTCCCACCATGGTGTGTGGAGATAGTAAGGACAGGAATGAGGCCTCAGATCAAGAAGACAGGGTTGAATTGGAGAGAGTTATCTACGGGTACGATGAAAAAATGAAGTTGACTCCCCAGGTCCCGGGAGAACATTGGTGATGTTGAGAGATAGTAAGAACCCTGATAGAAGAAACCATCATCCGGGCAACTGATGTCAGGGAGGTCTGTACAAAATGTTCCAGCTGGTAAGCAAGGAAGAGTAAGAGCTGTTGACAGTTGTTATAGTTTGGTTGTCACAAAAGCCAGGGTCTCTCCCTGGGTTTGCCAGGAAGAGAGAATGACATCAGAAGAGAAGAGATTACAGGAGCCAAGGTGAGGGCCAATACAAGGGGCAAATGCTGGAGAAAAGGCTAAAACCAGGAAGAAAATCCCAAAGAGATGTTTTCAACCACTCTGCGTTCAGCATCAGGAAATGGGCAATGGACAAGAGGTCAGCAATGGGCTGAATGGTTGTAGCCATGGAGGTGGCCAGCAGCTATGACAGCCCTGTCTAGTGGACGGGGCTGATTGGGGCAGCAGAGCAGCAGCCAAGCTCTGAGAGTTGCCGACACCAGGTGAGAGCCTTGCTGAAGAGAGTACATGAGCTCTTCACGGGCTGAGTCCAGCCTGCGTCCATGCTGCCTTCCTGGCTGTCCCCACTCATTGCTTTTGTCATCTCTGGGACCACTAGACACCTGAAAAGAAGCAACTGTAGGAAGGAGGTCCATTGTGACTTTAGTTTGAGGAGTTACACTCTGTCATGTGATGGGGGTGGGGGTCCTCTGCTGGGCCAACTGTTTGTTCATGTCTCCATGAACCAGGATACACAGACAACAGGAAATAGGGCTAAGCTCCAAACCTCAAAGCTTGTCCCACTAGAGATACACTTCTTCCTCCTTGGCCCCGCCTACGGAAGGTTTCACATCCACCCAAAGCAGCTCCACCTGGCAGAGACCAAGTGTTCAAGCATGTGAGCCTGAGGGAGACATTTCACATCCAAACACGGTCACCTTCTGCTGCCTAACGTAATCCTTTCTTGTCTTCACATGGAGACTGTAGATTTCTGCATCCTGTTCTGTGCTTCTGTTTGAGGCCCATGTTTTACCTACCCCATCAGAACATCTCTGAGATCACAAGCCTGTCTTCCAGGGCCTCCTCTGGGATATCAATCAGCCTCCTTCTTGAGTTGTAATAAGTGACCTGCTGACATCTGATTAGCCATCATGCAACCTGCAATGGTCGTTTGCCCTTTGGAGAGGCCAGGAAATCTCCCCAGTGGGTCAGCTCAGTTTTATCTGGCTCTTCTGGTAGACTTGAATAGATGCCAGTTCCCGTTCTAGCTGTGTAAATTTAGCCTCTCTTTCTGAGAGCCATGAGAAGTCGTGCTCATCAAGGTTGGCCTGCCTTTGCAAAACACCTAGAGATTGTAAACTCAAAGCCAGCCTTGGCACCAAGTTCCGGATCTTCTGATCATATCATCACACAATGACAGGTGTCCCAGGGCCCCCAAAGCCATTCTCTACACAAACCCATCATCACACAGAACTGTATCCTTGTCCTGTTAGCCCAGCTTAAAACATACGCTGCTCAACCCACAGTCAAGGGGTCGAGGGAACTGGGTCCTGATGTAACTGTATTACCTGCCCACTCACCTGTCAGTAGCCAGTGGAACCCAGTGGGTTGCTGCAATGGGTGCCCTTAAGTAAGACCATACCTTCTCAAAGGAGTGTGCCTCTTGCATCTCTGAAATTTGCTAACCCAACCAAGCCGCTCTAACACTAGCAGAGGGGGTTATGAGGCCAATGCAGCCTCCAGGCATGACCAGGTCCTTGGTGCACCTCGCTCCATCATCAGTGGGCCACAGTGGACATCTCATCACACATAACTTCTTTTTCTGATGTGCACCAGCTCTGAACGATGCTGCTGAAGTATTAGAAGAGGTATCTCTGTCCAAATGGACAGCAGTTGAGGGAAACTGTGGGTTTGCACCAGCTGCCAGCAGCACACCATGTTTTCCCTGACACCAAGACCAAGCCTAAGTCATGTGACTGTGGGGACTGACTGCCTGGTCAGGTGTCCCTGAGAGTCCAGGAGCATTGAGAATGAATGGTGGCGGTCTGACTGAAATTAACTCCTCTTTCTCTTCCTATAGACCCTAACTGGGCCAGTTTGAACTTGGGAGCCCTCATGTGCATCGAGTGCTCAGGGATCCACCGGAATCTTGGCACGCATCTCTCTCGGGTCAGGTCTCTAGATCTTGATGACTGGCCCATGGAGCTGATCAAAGTGATGTCATCCATCGGGAATGAGTTGGCCAACAGCGTGTGGGAAGAAAGCAGCCAGGGACGGACAAAGCCCTCATTGGACTCCACAAGGTAGGAATGTGCAGGTGCTCCGCCAGCAGCTACACACCGGGCATAACCCCAGAGAAAGCTGCAGTGGTGGCCCTGCTAACCTATAGGAACATCGATCAGCCTAGTCTGAAAGCATCATATTTGAAATAGGTCTGGAGCAGACTGGATGATTCAAACTCCTTAATTTTTTATGTTTATTTTTAGGCCTTGGGGATTCCTCTACCCTCTTGGAAATGTATTAGGCTTCTAGTCTTATGAATATATTACTTTAATTAATATATTTCTAATAGGCACAAGCTGTGCTAACACTAATTATACATTTTTGATTTTTTGGTTTTGTATTCTTTTGTACACCCTTGGTAAGCCTCTTGTGGGTAACCAACCCCCTCACCTGCCCCTGCCAACAAGTGAGTCTATTATTTAAAAAATGTGTTTTATTTACTAAAATATACTTCTAACACATTTAATTAAGTACAGTTAAGCATAATGTATGGAGACTCCTCATTAATGCTAATTGTTACCCAGGATAAAAACGCATTTATTTTGAGGCCATTTAGTTTCTCATTTTTCATTTACAGCGCTTATAAACCACTTTTGAGGATATGCATTCATATTTAATTCCCCCAAGAGGTGGCTGTAATGGCCCATTTTCAAAGAAGTCCCATTCCATAGTAGCAGAGAGATCAGCTCATCTGGTTGATCTAACCACGGACATCCAAGGTACTCAGGTGCTGGGTGTTCTATGTCCCCACTGCCCCTCCCCCTGACACGGGCTTGAAGCTGCTTCTGCTGCCCTTCTCAGGGTAACAGGAGGAAGGGGAATTTGTTGTGCTCAGCATCTGAAGTTTGTTTGTTTTGCTGGTGATGATACAGTCAGAGCCCGAGTGACTATAAACCAGAGGTTAGGCTGCACCTCCAGGATCCTGGCCAGTGATCTCCTGAGACCTGCTGGCTGGGTTTATTTCACTAACTGCAGAACGCTTGGCACCCCCTCTGATGGGCATCAAGAACAAGATGGCATACATCAGTCCTGTTTGTGTTAGTCAGGGTGGGAGGGAACTAGGAAGGGAGGCCAGCAAGGTGCTTAAAGTGCTCGTTAAAACCTGTAGGTTTGCTGTGGCAACTCCTCCTGGTATGAGTTAGTCTGTGCAATACAGTTAGGGGTGGTTTTGTCACAAATTGAAGATACACTACCCTTTGAGAAACTATTGTCTTTCCTGACATAACACTCAACATGGAAGTCAGCTGGGCTCTTCACTCTATTATAAAACAGTCATTTGTTCTGTAGTATCTATTTTTTTTTCATAGAGCGGTTGAATATCAATCTGAAAATGAAAAGGTGATTGGAAGTTACATTGTTTGATCTATGAAGAAAAACATTGAAATGAGTTAGAAAAAAATTAACTTTGTGCATCTTGACCATTTAGGTTTAAAAGCAACATATGGACTATGTTTAATGCCATGAATTAAGAGTGCTTGCTGCTCCCTTAGAATGTAGAGCAACTAGAAGTGGGTGTGTGGTTGTCTTAACGCACCCAGCAGTGAGTGGCGGCTCTTTGCGCTGAGCTCTGGGACTGTAGCTTTCAGCTCTGCCCAGCACTTCACATGTCACCCTTTACAGCTTAGACACAGGTGGGAGGAGCCGTCCCCCCACAGGCACGGTGACCGTGGTTGAACCTCTCGCCTCTGGTCACCGTGGATATTCTCAAGAGCCCCTCTGAGGCAGTGATGTGGCGTGATGACCATGGCATCTCCCAAAGTGACCTTGGAATTTCTGAATTTTCAGACAGGCATGAGACTTGGGGGGCTTACTTGTCTCTGGTAAAATTATCCCAGGAAGTTTTCTGTCTGGTTAAATTCAGTAAATATTTACCAAACACTCAGAAGAAGAGAGGGAAGGGTGAGCAAAGGGTGATTCTTGTGACAGGTGGACCCTCTTGGGATGAGCTGAGGAAGCCAGGTCCCAGAAGTTCACAGCCATGGCTGGTTTGCAGGAGAGAGGTATGGGAGGATGGGGCAGCCTAAGCAGAGGCAGGCAGGTTCTGCCTGCAATGTGCATGTCCAGCAGCATGCCTCCTGCAGGGCTGGGCCTCCTCAGAACAAGAAGCAAGGATGAGTTTTCTCTGGAAAGCTCTTGAGCTGGAGTGGCTGATACCAGAGGTATTTGGGTAGCATGAATGGTCTATGATTGTGTTTGTTTGACCGCATTCCATCTGTTCCTGGGAACACTGAAGTCAACAGCAGGGTCATTGGAAAGGACCAAGACAGACCAAGCCAAAGGCCACCTAGAAGGTTGCCAGCCTTAGAGACACCAGCATAAATGAGAAGTACCAAAGCCCATCCATAGTAGAGATCTTACCACCTTCCACTTTCATCGCCCCCCCCACCCTTTCCCCAAACAGAAACAAAAGCCTGGAAGTCTGGACTAGAATCAGTCTGGAACTCACCCCAAGAGAGTTGATACCTGGTCTAGGTACTGCCTGTCCAAGCTGCCCTATCTCTCCCCCACCCCAACCCAGGTTTCCTCCCTTCTCCATGAGGAATTGAGGGCAGTTAGTAGAAGCATTTAGGGGCCTGAAACTAATCCTTAAAAAAATAGTTCCATAAATTGTGATGTTAGTTCAAGGAAAAACCAAATGTTACTCTTAGAAACAAGGGCCCAAATGTTTTCCCAGGGAACTTGGGTCGGTTTCAGCGTGATTCAGAGTCATTCTGACTACAGAATGTAATTAAAAATGTTCTGCTCGTATACAGACATGTATATACATACACACACACACCAACACATAAACACATATACATATGTATATACATCCCAACACACACACATATATATACATATACACACACTTGTACACATAAACACATTTCAACACACAAACACATATACACACATGTGCATAGACATGCTTGCATGCACACACTCTCGTTCTCAGACACACACACACGCACACACACACACACACACACAGCATATCTTTCTGCAAAGAAACAGCCAGTCCCCTGAAACAACCATGCATTGGCATCATCCAGGACTGCAGGCAGGTTGGGAGAACAGGCGCCTGGCACAGCTGGCTGGCCTTCTGCCTGTTGTCCCCACACCCCTATTAGGGCAGCTCTGGATGGCCTATAATTGGTTCCAGCGATCCTCAGCCACCCTGAGAACTGCCGTTCAAACTTGAGCAGCATCGTGATCAATCGGAGCTGACGACAGCTGAAGCGGTATTGACTTCCCGTTCCTAAACAGGGGGATCATTAGTCAGGGAAAGCATCTTTTAATTACTCCCAGGAAGCAAAAAAAAATCTTTTTGGATGGATTCTGCAACAGCTGCCATTTTTTTCCCAGTATATTCGATATTAAATTTATTGTTGCAGGAGGGGAGAAGATGCCCTCCACCTCTCTATAATGGGGGTTTGATTTGGAGAAAGAATCATGTTAGAGGGGAGATCGATGTGGCAACAATTAACTACATCTGGGCTGGAATCAGGACCCCGCCCCGCTGCACGTTGCTATTGATACCATTTAAGGACACACTTAAAATATTGACTGTAAATGGCGATGTCGGGGTGTTCGTAGAGGCAGCGATGGGGGACAGTTATCTGGAATTGGGTGCTTTATGACCCTCAGAGAGAGAGAGAGAGAGAGAGAGAGAGAGTGTGTCACGCTTTGTAGTAAACAGTTGGAACAGCTGAGTCTGGAGCCACCAGGTGCTCGGGGCTCTGGGTTCCAATGCGAAGAGACTAATTAACTGTCGCTGGAGGGAGTGCCAAGATCATCGGTGACCCTTTGTGATGAAAGGAAAATAGCCTTTAGTGTAAAGACGTTATGAGTCAGGTGACTGCTTATGCCATGCACAACACACAGCAGGGTCACCTGGCACCCAGGTGTCAGGTGTTGCATCCACACCACCTGGCTCCTCCCATTAATGAAGTAAGACTTGGGAGTCTGCAGTACAGCAAGGCTGGTGCAGCAAGCCCCCGTGGCTCCTGTCCCCGGGCCTGTCTGCACCATACTGACCTGTCCCCCTTCGGTGAAGGTGACTTCCTATTGGAGCAAGGCAGAGAGCCCTCTGGGCAGATGCGGTGGGGGGGGGGAAGCTTGGTGGTGTAGCTGTCCCCACTTGCCTCCCTGATGGCATCTGGCCTGGGAGGGTCAGTGGGGACCATGCTATTTACGTTTTAATGCAGGTAGCCTATTTATGCAGTGCTTGGCACCTGGTGGCTTGGGCTGGGAAATCAAAGGAAGCTGGAACGCCAAACTGTGTTTTCAATTCCAGCAACAGCTCATGAGAGAAACTCTGAGCACAGGCAAAATCACCTATTAGCACTTTGATGCCGCTTGGAAGGGAACATTGGCGGGTTTGATACACACCCTCTTCCTGTTTTGGGCATCCTCCCTCCCTACCCCTCTTTCACTATTTGTAACTTCATCTCCCTGCCTAAACTCCCTTCTTGTCTCTGGCCACATCAGAAAGCTGCGTGGGAGAAGACTGGACACACACTTCCAGACCCAACCAGTCTGCCCGGCAAGAGGAGTGCCCCTTCTCTTTGATTCTGCAGGGCCGCTTTCATCTTATTTATGCACACGGAGATATTGATAAAGGGGAAATGTATCCAAACTGAAAATAATTGGATCCCCGCAGCTGACTCTGAGATATTAAAAGCAGCCCCACTTGGCCATGTCTTTGTCTTGTTAGGTTTGATCATAAGATCACAATATAGTAATCTCAGGCTCAAATTTCTGGCATAAAGATGCGCTGTTCTAAATGTGGCCTCAGGGACATGACTGCCCACACGGCCCCGGGATTGTCTCCTCTGATTATTTTTCAACAGTTCTTGGCCTGCTGGGGTCAATGTTTTGTGTCTTTTGAGTGTTTTCTATGCTGGACACCTTTCTCTATTCTCTTCCTTAAAAAAAAAAAATGGGGAGGGGGAGAAGTAGGAGACAGAAAAAAGGGCCTTTGCCGGGCTGACCAGAGTCCATCTGCAGTTGGGTGGCATCTGCTCCCCACATGTCACTT